GAAAGCCAATTTTTTTGGTGTTTTAATCATGGCAAAGATAATTGATATTATGAGAGTAAATGTTGCAGCTATTRGTATAATTTTGCTAGACTTACAATTCAAAATCCAAAGATTTCTGGAGGATGGTGAGTGCGTGGAGTGCTTTGAGGATTCCCTGATAAAGGGAGCTGTCTAAATAAGCCTTTTTTTAATTATAGCTAAATGTAAAGGCATATATTAAGAAGGGAGAGAAGCAGACCCATCATAGAAACAGAGAATTGGTATCTAGCAAAGAAACACATTTTAAAAGAATGCTTGAGCAATAAGGAGGGCATTTAAACAAGTCATAAAAACAATTCCATGTCCAAAGAAAAATTATGGAAGACTTGGAGGTCAGTACTTTGCTTACTGAACCCAAATGTAAAAGTTCTTCTTTTWAGGTTAATTTCATAGAAGAAACATGCAGGAATGTGGTTTGTTTTGTCAAGAAAAGCAAAACAAGAACTTGTTTGAATTTGCTTTAAGTTTGGAGAAAAAAACGCAATTTAACAGTGAATTGTTGGAATGGCTGTTACAGTTGGTGAGTTTTTAATTTCCTGGTGTGTGTGGACCAACAGAATTTTACATTCTATTTTCTCTTAGCTAGATAAGTTTTAGTCAAAATAATAGGGAAGTTAAGCGAATGGTCTCAGTTCAGTGTCAGAAGGGACCATTTCCGGTTGGTCTTTAAAAACTGAAAAAGTGCAGCAGGTTGATGTCACTTGTTGCTACTTAGAGCCTTGTTGTACTWGGTATTTGAGAGAACTGATTTTAGTATCTGTAGGGGAAGTTAGGAAACCCCCCAAATGTTAACACACCCAAGAGCAGAGTGTGTGCTCTGTGTGAGGGAAATCACTGCTGGCATGCAAGGGGAAGGGCTGAACTCGGCAGCCTTTCTACCGGCCTAACTTCCATAAAAAAAAGGAGCAAGGTGAAAACTGGTCTGTTCTACCCATCCAACTGGGATTTCCCTCAGGATGAATGCTTCACTGGAGGGGGGTAACCAAACTCAGTCAATGTCTGCCATGTGTGTGATGCTCTGAGCTAGAAGGAGCTGCTTGCAGTGCTCTCTAGCAGTAGTGGGGAATGAAGGGAGCTGCTGTGCTGGGCTCAGGTGTTAATCCTGCTTGCCTTGTGAATGACAAACTGTAATGTATCAATTGTTGGAATGTAGCCTTCATTGTGACCATACAGTAAGTTTCATTAAGTTTCTTTTTAAACTGGGTATCATAATTCACTCATTGGGTTACAAGTCAGTAATGTGGGGGGTGAGGGAATTTTCATATCCTTTGAAAAGCATCTTGAAAGTAAGGCATGCTGGAAGTTGTGGGGGATCAGCACCCACGTACTGGATGCTCTTGCTTGATGTTGCTGGGAGGGAGCTGAAGAGCAGCTGAGTGCCACAGGCAACCTCTGCCCCCATGTTCCGTATGGTGGCTCTGTGCTGGGCTGTGGGTGGTGGGGGATTGTGGGCTGAGAGTTTGTTCAATCTGTAGTAGTGGCCAGAGTTTGGAGATTGTTGTTTTAGAAAGAATTATAAAACAGCAAATGYGGCATTGACTGCCGAAGTCATAAGGCAGATGGTGTTATGAGCCACAGGAGGGTTAAACAGTTGAATGATATCGACTGTTACACTCATAAATGATAATTAATATGTCTTTTTTATTACCGACTCAATTTCTGCTGCTTGTTTGGACTTTTCTGTTGCTGTCAATAAGATTTGGCTGTTCTGAATGAAGCCACTGTTTGCTCGAGTCACTGTCACCTGTGGGGTCCAGAAACCTCCTGCAAGAGCGGGATGGGAATGAACAGCTAAGGAGACAAGGTGTAAAGAACATAAAACTTCACCCATTGGCAGAAAATCTCCTTTAAAGGAGTTTCTTCCCCTTCCAGCCATGTGTCAGAAACCTCCGATGGAAAGGGATAGAAACTGAATGATGGATTTTAAGAAGCTGTACCCTCCTCCCTGCCTCCAATTACTGCTTGCATTTACAGGGTAGAATTAATGAAGTTAATTACATCTACACAAAATCTCTTGGTTGAGTGAATTACTTAGACCTTTTAAAATAGAGACATAATTTTCTGCAGGGTTCACAGGCTGTTTTTCAAGCTTGGTTAGTTACTKTGGTTTATAGTCCCCATGATGCATGGTTGCTATCTTAAGCACTCTGGGGTGCACCTTTTAGAGTAATACAAGATGTCAAATTCCATGTAAGGATAACTGCAGCATTCAAAACAAAAATACTGAAATAAARAAAAG